CTGTGCCCTCAGGCTTTCCCTGGCTTTTTGTTGGTTTTCTGAAATAGATTTAAAGGCCCTCCTTTTCTTTTTCCATTTTTGAATGGTAATTCATTCATTGCTTAAATAACATAGTTCTTCATAATGTAATTTGACTTTTTGCGTCACCTTTACTGTACTTAGCCTTTGGCCTGAACTTTTGACCTTATTCACAAAAGTTTTTAGCTAATTAAAATATTAATATAATTACATATTTTGATTATATATAAGAATACATACTGTTGTGGGTTCAGATCAAAGAAGACCACTACAATGCCCAATTAGAATTATTGAAGTTGATTTTTAATATCAGGCTAGCCTGGCTTGCAGCAGAAATATCTCCAGACTGCAGCCCCCTTTTCCCTGGCCAATATTCTTTTATATCATTCAGGGAGGGTAACATACAGAAAAGGCAAGTTAAAATACATAAATCACTAAGTGGTATTGACAGAAGTAAAACAAAAGTATATTTTGGTAAACTTTCATGAGCCTTGGTTTATGATCCCCATTCCTGATTTCAGGTCTACTTTATCCTCCTAGCGGGGGAGGGAAATGGACACTCCTGTCCCTGAGAGGAAGGCTTAGAGCACCTCTAGATGGGGAGAGGAGTGATTTAAACCAGAATTCTCCCAGAGGGCACTTACACACTGCATTCCATTGTAATGCTAAACCCGATTCACTCTGGCCAAGGTCGGTGGGAGGGGGCTGGGAAAACGCCTCAGGGAAAAGTGTTCCTGGGACAGTTCTGCTTAGATGTGGGGATGTGAGCTTGTCTATTTCAACACTTTCTAAAGAAAGCAGAGATTACAGAAACTATAAAGACAAAAATAAAACTAGCTATCATTTGAACACGCAGAGATTACTACCATTATTATTTTGATATACTTTCTCCAAAATTTTTTTTTAATCATTTTATTAGGGGCTCATACAACTCTTATCACAATCCATACACACATCAATTGTGTAAAGCACATTTGTACATTCATTGCCTTCATCATTCTCAAAACATTTTCTCTCCACTTAAACACCGGGCATTAGGTCCTCATTTTTCCCCTCCCTCCCCGCTCCCCCCTCCCTCTTGAGCCCTAGATAGTTTATAAATTGTTATTTTGTTATATCTTACTTTCTCCAAAATTTTAAAGCAATTTAAAATCAGACGGAAGTTTACATTTCAGACCATCAACTTTTATTTACTTATTTAGAAGTGCCTTTGAGTGAACTCTTGCCTCCAAGCTTTCGGTTCATCGGTTCATAGTTGAGCAGATCAGACATTGGTCCCACTATGTTTTAATTAAGTTCACATTTAAAAACAAAGGAAAACCAGCTGTGGTCTTGGGGCCTCCAGAGCATGGCCCAGCGTGTAGACTGCCCCTGCCTCTGTATTTCCCTCAGACTTTTCCTCAGGCTGCACACATTTTCACACATCTTTGTGTCACATAAATGGGAAGGTGGATGCAAAAATGTGCAAGGGAGGGACAAAGGGAACAGAGGGAACAGCCTAACTGCATTGGCTTGGAACACCTCTGTGTTTATCTGGGTGGGGGAGGGGTAAATCGGCTGCAGTTTTCCAGAATGCCTGTGTCACAGAGCCCCAGGGTATTCCACATCCTTTCTCAGTCACTTCCATTTTTTTTTCTGTTCACAGGAAACACCCTGGCTCAGACCGAACCATGCTTCAGAGGTGGCAGGTATGCTTCCTGCTTCAAATGAGGAAGTTCCCAGAAATAATCTCAAACTAGCCTGGTCCCCAGTGATATGAGAAGTCTGCAGATAAATTAAGAGATCATGGGGGTTTTTTGTTTTTCAATTTTTAAAATAATCCCAATATTTTCCTCAGAAAATCCTAGTGATTGAAGGACACGCTTGGGGACTGGAGTCAGATTAGGGGAATAAGTGTAGTATGTGTGCCTACGTACTCATATATGTATTAACATGTCACTATGTACAGATGTGTACATACATATGTATTGTGTGTATGTAAACTTGCACTGAATGCCTCTGTGTGTATACATGTGATCCATTCAAGAAGATGTACACATGGAAGGGGCATATGTGTTCCTTCCTGTCTTGTTCTGGGGAATAAACATGTGACCCAGCCTCACTGTCCGCCAGGCAGCCAGGGGCTCTGAGTAAAAGGAAGTAGCCCCACAGGGACAGTCCTAGAGATCACGTGACAATCAAAGGAGGTGCTTAGTCATCGAGCTCTGCAGTCCTTTCCCAATTAGCAAAGGAAAGTGGAGCATGTAGGTCTCACATAAGAAATGACAGCTACATAGGACTGTTCTTTCACCCATTGACTTCAGTGAATTTTTGCCAAAGGAGCATTATCCCAATATTTAAGGACAAGGAATAGGCAACACTAAAAGTCCTGGAGGAAGACTAGCAGAGAACGCAGTATACCTCAGTCAGTGAAAACTTCTTTCTCGGATTCTAAGATATCCCTCAGTTTAGTTTTCTAAACACAACTAAGTCAGCAGTAAGTTTGTTCACAGCATTTGTGTATTTCATCAACCTTTGAATACCACATTCAACAGTTAAAACAAAAGATAGTTCATCCTTGCCTATGGATTGCTAAACTGCACTGTTTGTTTGTTTTTATTAACTACAACTTCCTAAAATGTTTTCTGCTGCTCCTCTTGAAATTATGTGTGTTCCTGAGCTGGCATTTGTTGCTGTCTGAGATGTATGAGAAAACCACATCAATTATCTGGAATTCTCACCTACAGAAAGGGTCTCCTGCTGAGGGCTGAGAGATAAAACCTTGTGGAGATCAAACCCAATTGACTTTTCCATTTTTGTTGTTCTTCCTTGTAGAAAAGGGAAGTCAGCAATTTCGAGTATCTCATGTACCTCAACACGCTGGCTGGGCGGACCTACAATGATTACATGCAGTATCCAGTATTTCCCTGGGTTCTGGCTGACTATGCCTCAGAGGTAAGAAAGTCTGTGGAACAGACTCAGCCCAAATGCAGAGACTGCCATGTCATTCACTATAGGCCTGGGCCCAAGGACTGTTGTGAGGGCTCAGGTCTCTTGCTATGACTTTTGGCTACCTGAGTACATGTCCCAGCCCCACCCACCCGGAGGAAGGTAGGCAGGATCACGATGATCCATAGGAGGAGTCCAACTTCTAACATTATCTGCCAAGAATTTCATGGCAACTGATCCTGCTGTATTGAGATGCTGCAATGGAGTAGAACTAGTGGTGAGAGGCAGTCACAAGTGAGGGGTCATAGGATTTGCTCAGGAATCAAGATGAGGGGGTTGGGGAGAGAGAGAGAGAACTCCCCATAGATAGAGCCTGTCATTGGGATAGTATATCTGGATTTCACTCAGATCGGAACTGAAACACGCTAGGGGAGGCTGGTATCAAGAACAGATCATGCATCCCTCTTGGTCTATCACTGGACCTCTGCAGGCAAGGGAGGGAGGAGGAGGGAGGGTGACACTGAGCTGATCTGAACATAGACCAATACCCTGACCTTCTGACTCTGGCCACCACCAGGAAATAATCTGGGCCGTGTGTGTGCGGAGGTGGTGGGTGGTGGGTTGGGGTGTGTGTGTGTGTGTGTGTGTGTGTATGTGTGTGTAGGAAAAAGATGGCTGGATCCTTGGTTTGAGCTAACTTGGCCAGTCCTCCCTGCAGCTGCTCAGAAGATTGAGCCCCAGAAGTGGGAAACGAGGCTCAGGGTCTACGACCTTCAAAACCCATTTCAGATATTAAATGAAATACCTTTTCTTACCATCCCTGAGTTTCTTCTGTCCTAATAATCCAGCTGAGGTGGAAACCTTACAAAAATGACTGGCTTAGACCTATTGTAAAATGTGGTT